CCGCCCCCTGGCAACAAGCACAGCGTCGCCTTCCCAGCGCTTATGCTTCCTTGATGACGCCTTGCACCACATTACACTATAGTAGCGTGCTTTAAAATAAACAAAAAAAAGGATCAGCAGTGATATACAACACAGCAATAGCCTAATCATAGACAATGTTTTACTGATTACAGTCTCAAATTAGAAATGTACCTTTATACAGCCACTAAACATATGCATAATTGCTCATTTTGTGCCTTGTGCTTTTGTTCTGTCACATAAACTAATGTGTGAGATCGACAGATATAGATATAGACAGACAGACAGATAGATGGATGGATTTTGTTATACTGAATTATACTGTAAATAACCACCCAAATGAAGTTCACATAAACATCTTGACTGATAACGTTCTCATTCATTGCTGTTGCTATGTAACACTCCCTGTCTAACAAAAAAGAATAATAGGACAGGCTCAAAACAGAGTTTAAAGCAATTATGAATTTATTAGTGAATACATAGAAAATAAAATCTTATTTTCTTCTTTAACCAGGCATTAACCCATTAAAAACATTCATTTCTGCTACAAACATCAGGAACAATCCTTGTACAAATGTCGATCGAATACAAAAACAAGAAATAACTGTACAAACTGTATAAACAAGCCTGTTCATTTTAACTTCACATTACAGAGTTCCCTTTGTGATAGACTTTCAGACATGACACCATACGTGTCACATCAACTGCAATCCTTGGCGTAGCCTGGCCGCCCTCAATTTCTCCACTTTGACCCTTGACCGGAGTAGCTCCTCCTCCAGCTGTTGCTTTCTCTTAAGCCCCTCCCTCTTCTCCTCTAGATACAGTCCAAGCTTTCTGTGATTGGCCAGAAGCAGCTCATGCTCCTCTCGCATCATCTGCAGAGCTTCTGCCTCCAAAACTGGATTCTTGAACATTTCCCTCCCTCTCTGATATGCGCTCCTCCTGGGGCCGGGTGCCGACGGCGAGGGTGGCAGGTGTGCAGAAGAGGGGCACGGAGACAGAGAGGCCGCATACACGTGGGAGGCTAATTCTTCCTCCTCATCTTCCTCCACTTCCTCTACTTCACTGTCCCTCTCGTTCGGTCCGTGGTGGGCCTGACTGCTCGGGGTGGCGATGGTGACAGGTGAACTGTGGGATGTGATCAGGTGGATATCAGGAGGCGGTTTCACATCCTCAGTCTCCACCCTCACAGCCGCAACAGGCACATAGTCCGACAAACTGCTGCCTGGCTGCTCTACTGGAGAATTCCTCTTGAACTGAAATCTAGCACAGACACATAAAAAAATTATAACATTGAATTTTGAACTAATAAAAATGCTGAATCTGATTCCACTAGTGAATTCAAATGAATCAGATCATGTGCATCCCCAGCTCTTGGCTGGATTTGTGGTGATAACAGACAAAAAGAAAAACCTGTTATTTTGTCAACACAAACGAAAGACATGGAGATGCTAGTGGAAAGTAACTCCTCTGGCACATGGTGGCAAACCTGGCATTAACGCAGCATCGGAAATACGGTTAATGACATCCAAATCCCCTCAGTGCTGCAGCTTACCTCTGGCACAAGACAGAGTAGAAGGACAGCGAGCGTGTGACTACAACGTTTGCTTTGACCGCATATGACATATTAAAACTAGCAAAGGAGATGTTCACATATCAAAACTGCTCAAGTCTAATTGGCTGAGTGTGACAATTAACACAGCACCAGAAGGAAAAATCTGGGAAAAATGTATGTGAAGATATTAACAGAAGCTGAATCAATATTTTAAAGTTCTATGGATGCACAGGATCAGATTCATTTAAATTCGCTAGTGGAATCAGACCCATCTTCTCAGAGTAGACAATTAGGCCTCCTGAGAGTATGTGTTTATGTATTTACTTGTTATTGATTAAATTTTTCCATTGGGTGATAGATATGTTTTTAATTATGGATGCAACTAATAATGTGGCAGTTTTGTCACGTAAGTATCTGTACGCTCAATCTCACCTGTGGAGCGCATTTGGCTCTTTGTCCCCCAAGTGAAACAGTTGAGGTATCATTTCCATGATGCGCTTGGTTGGCTCCGAGATGCTGCCCCGGTACTCGGGTTGGGCATGGCTTCGCTGAAGAACTTCCTGCTTGGCACTTTCTTTAAGTCGCTTATAGAGGGTCCGAAGGCCCTGAGCCGTTCTGGGGGGCCTCTCGCCTCCGAAATTATTATAGCGCTCTGCTATGCTGTCCCAGCACCGGTTCTTATCCACGATCACAGCGTGCTTGTTGGTGTGCTCCTCCAGAATGCGTATGTGAGGCTGGACCAGCTGCAGAAGATCCAGTTTCTCAGATAGGGTGAAGTTGGAGGAGCGGGCCTTGCCGACCATGCTGTTTGACATGAATATGGTAGACATCCTGCTTTAGGCTGGTCTCAGTGCTCTAGGTTTGATCTCCTTCTCTTCTTTTCCCTGTGCTGTGTGTCTGTCCTTCTCTACTCACTTGCGTGAGCAGGTTGCTGCACTGCTTGTCTCAGTTAAACAACACACACATGCACAAACTGGCTCCCAAGCACACAGACATAAGAAAAAGAATCAGGCTTAACTAGGCCAGCCTCGATTAGGCCCACGCCTACCCGGGGAGGGCTTTGCTGGAATTCCTTTTAGCTTAAGCTGACACTTGTTCAGTAAAGCTGCTTAAGCCTGGCCTGGCCTGACCTACATAACAAACCCGACTACATTAGACTAGAAACACAGGGGAGCTCTTTTATTCCGCTGCAAACAGCGACAAGTATTGCGTTTTAGCGGGAAACGACTCAATGCGTGTTTTTGAACGTGTTGTTATATTTGAAGCGCGTCAGGTCGGTGTTTTGACAGAAGATAGGATCCGCGCGATTGCTGAAACGCTAGAGGAAACATTAAACTGACGCTTAACGCGTTCGCGCCAGAACAACTCGAGCAGCGTTATGTGCGTGCGTACAGACAGTGTTTAGTGTGTGAGAGAACTGCTTTTCGGACACCAGTTGCTATTTATTTCCCAGGCTGACTGACAAATGCACCCCTGCTCACACTCATAGTAAGCAGGACATCTCTGCCTTGAACTGGGCAAATCCGTGCGCGGCACGAATACGATCCAATAAGCACATCGCGCCTGTCAATCAAGCGGTCAGTGCGCACGGATTGGTTAGTTTCACTCAAAGCCGAAGTTAAAGGCGGGGAATAGAGATGCCGTTTGTTCAACCTGACCGCTCGCCGAGCCTTTCTTGTTTTTCTCTACTAGATTTCCTCAAAGAATTCAAGCAAGGTGCATTTCCTCTTTGTTAATCTCTTGCTTAGTGTTTAAGTGTACACTACATCCTAGCAACTTGTGCGACATTATAAAATATCAACGTGATGAGGTTCACAAGACCATGCAAAACAGACGCATCACTCAAAAGCACACAAGACGAAACAAAACAAAAAATTAGTCAGTCGCCCATGGCAAAGCTGTAACATTATATCAGTGCTAATCAAAATGATTTTTTCTTACATAGCTGTGCTTTTGCTCTCTCTTTGTGTCTCTACAAAAACGCCGGTAAATAGTAAAGTAATTAAAACATATATCAACATTTCATTACCATGTATTTATTTATTTGGGGAATAGCAGTGTAATAAAGGGAATGATACAGTCATTATTGCAAAATAACACCCATTAGGGTAATACAAGTCTGGGGTTTGTTTTGCGATAATGACCGTCAGCTCAATCAAGTTCTCTGATTTTTGGATTATGGGTAAATTACAGGAGATTTTAAACCTACCAGTTTCTAAAACCAATTGTTACAAGATAATAAATTGAAAACATAAAAACAGACCATTTAAGAGGAGTTGTAACTACAGAACACTTTTTCAGCAATGTGTTTACATTGTTGAGTGGCACAGGATTATCAAAAATAAAAATCTACATATAAAAATCTAGTAAAGAGGTCCTCCTTTGAGTCTTAGTTTAAAATGTGGTTACAAATAATGCATTACACCGATATTACCAAAGGAAAATCCTTTTATTTATACTAATACACACTAACCAGACTGAAAAATCTGTTTAGCATTTACTGAACAAAAAGAACAAGTGATATTTTAATCACCTTTCAATCATAACACACACCCAAAATACGACTGTACTGTATCTTACCGGTAGCTGTGCCGCTGCCGAGCGTGTTTGGCTGTGTTGAGCAGCTGTCTTTATCTGCTGGTTGTTCAGGTTCAGAAAAGTCAGGTGAAGAACTGAAGCTGTTTTCCTTACATTCACTGTGAGGAACTGCACCCAGCACCCTGGCTAAAGCCTTACTGGCCACTGGAGCATTAGTCACAGCTGGAGTATCTCCACTACTCAAACACCTCTGGACCTGCAGGGAGAATTAACTTTTGAAACAACATCCGAAGGGAAAACAGACCCTTATGCATGCACGTCTTCAATCACATTGTTACACTGCACTATTATCATGATACAGATGAAAACACTAGTAATAACACATACAAACAACCTGAGTAGGCAATGTGAACATTAAGATGTTATCAATCACATATAAATTATGTACATAATCACAAACACTGCATAAAATGTGTCATCATGACCACTTTTTAAATATTCTCTTGTTTGTGACCTTATTGAGCAGCACATTTCCCAAAGCAGGTGTGGGTGGTGGTGGTGCTGGTGCTGATGGTTCTGGTTGGGGATGAGATAAAGGTGGTCCATTGTTCTTTGCTGGCCCTGGTGGCATAAACCTGGGTTTCTTAGCAGTATTTCCACTGAGCTGACTCGGAGCTCCAGATCTACGCATTCTGTCAATAAAGACACACAGTAATAAAACCATTAAAGATTAAAGGGATACCTTATATTCTTCTGTAAAAAAAAAAAAAAAACTGAAGGAGAAATTTGACTAACAATTCTTTTAGTACATTTGAGGAAGAAATATTTGGGAAAAAGAGATGCAGTTCTTACTGTATTTATTTTTTGTCCTCATTTGTAATTTTTTTTTCAGTATTAATCATTATCTACATGATACAGCTTTGTGGAAATTAATTTATTACCTCTGCAAGTAAGTGAGTTAAAGTTCAAGTACAAGTCTCAATTTGTTTACACGTTTGTCAGTTTATTTTGCCTATTTTTAATATTATTGTTGCTAGCATTGCTGATATAAAAATGAAAAAGCTATGTTTTTATTGTTGTGAAATGAAGATTAAATATAACAAAATCAGAAGTAAAACATTAAATATAAATTTTGCATATCAGTTATAGGACACATAAACAAATAATCGGTATTGGTTATAAAAATCTTGATTGGTAATTCTGAAATAAAATTAAATAAATCTAAATTTATTCTCAAACATGCATCTTAGATATGAGTTTTGTATTTCTGAATTCTCCATGTTCAATTTTACCATAGAACCACCAGAAATATTTCCCTTTGGATGTAGAATTTATGTGTAGGATATTTGTGTAGTCGATAGATGGTGTGTGGGGTTGCCAGGTGCTTCGGTCTCATCATGTGATCACAGCATGAGGAAGAGATTCCCAAAGGGTTCCCCGAAGAGATTTAGGCAAGTGTGTGTTGTGTTTTTGCAAATTTGTTATACATTAGATGGTCTGTGGTAAGGTGAGAGTTGCTTTGAAAAGGTGCCTCATAAACTGCTTGCCATACAATTCATGCTCCTTAAAGAGTCTGTTTCCTAAGGTTTAGTATAAGGCCATGTCCACACGTACACAGGTAGTTTTATAAACTGAGTTTTTCCTTCCGTTTAAAAAAAAATCTCTGTCCACATGAAAACGCAAACGCATGCTATGAAGCACTGTCAAGAGCATGCCAAGCCAACAGGTGGCGATATAATCTCAACCGTAAAGCCATGTTGGCCAATCAGAAGCCTGAAAAAGTTTCCAGTAGGCGGAGATAACAGCGCAGGCTCCGACGTCACAAGCCAAAAACTCCGGTTTCGCTGTCTACAGGATAACACTGCAACCGGAGATTTTGAAACTCTTCACCCTGGCAGGCGTTTCCAAAAATGTTTGGTTTCAGTGACCTGGTGCTGCATTTGCGTGTGGACGAACGGCCTAACCGCACAGAAAAAGATGTGGTTTAAAAATAACCGCGTGTGGACAGGGCCTAAATGAAGATGGCAAACTGACCCCAGATCCCCAGTGAATGTCTACAGTCGTAACCCCACCCACTCATGTTTCAGTCCAACAGCTGCCGCCTGGCTGTTTCTACAGCAACTGACCAGACCACCTTCAGCAAGCACACCTGAGAGAAGGAGGGAGAGAGGGGAAGACAAGATACCACAGACTCTGTTAGGTAATTTAACTTTAGATATATTTTTTTAAAGAAATTTTCTGGATATATTTTTAATATACATTATGCTGTTATGTTTACATTAATAGCCTGTATGATTTAGTGTACGCATGCAGTGGCCTTCAATATTTTAAACCTAATTTAAATAATGTTTTAATGTAAAATAAATATTTATATCTATTATGATTTTTTTTTTTTTTTCAACGGTTTAACATTGGGAAAAATCCATTATTTATTTTAATGTAAAATAAAAAAAAAATCTTAAATTTCTGTACAAAACATTTAGGACGTTTAACAAAAAAAATATTTAGCTTCAAAATATTATTTATTAAGCTTCAAAAGATTTTTTACAAAATTTGTATTTTTAAAAGCTTAAGATATTCAAACATTTAAACATTGTTATTTGTATAGTTTTGATTTTAAAATTAATTTAAAATAAATTAAGTATGGTTTATATTAATGTAACTTATGACTTTGATACAACTTTAAGTTAAGTAATATATTTTTTGAATATATATTTTTCCAATTATATTTTAGGAAATTTTCCATGTATTTTTAATATAAGTGATTCTTATCGATAGCCTGTAGGTTTTAGTGTGCACATACAGTGGACTTAAAGACATAATTTATATTAATAAATATTATTGTTAATAAATTTTAATAAATATTATTGTTAAATGTGAAGTTTTATCTAAAACAATCTATTCAGTTTATTTTGCCATAAAGTAAAGTTGTTGTTGTTGCTTTTGGCTAAATGTCTGGTTTAAAATGTTTAATAGATAAAAGTATTATTACATCCATCCATTATCCAGACAGCTTATCCTCTGCAGGATAAGTGTATTGTTGAATTTCAAAATTAAATTTAATTAAATGTTAAATTTTTCCTATTATAGTAAAGTAACATGTTATAACCATAAGACAACATTTGAGTTATTATATGTATTTTGGTACTTTACATCAGTTTGTTCAGTGTTGTTTTCTGTGTGTGTGTGTGTACTCTAGGATGGGCTACGATCTAGAACGTTTTGTAGGCTATGTGAACGAGGGTCTGCTGTGCTGTGTGTGTCAGGACGTGTTAGAAGATCCTTTGCAGGCTCCGTGTGAACATGCCTTCTGCAGCTCCTGCATTCATGGATGGCTCGTCCACCATAACACCTGTCCAGAGGACCGCTTGCCTTTAGACATCACACATCTACGCCCACTGTTCAGGTAACACAGATGTATTAAATAGAATCACCTGATCGTTAATGCCATTCATTTTATTGACTTATAAATACGTGTGTATGGTGTGCTACAGATACATGAGAAATGATTTAGCAAGGCTGCAGGTGAGGTGTGTGTTCCGGCCACAAGGTTGTGAGGTCACATGCGCTCTGGAGTCAGTTCATCGGCATGAGCAACAGTGTGATTACGCTTTGCTGAACTGCAGTACTGCAGGTACATATATAGTTATATCTTGGTACCCACAATTTGTTGGCAGGGAACAGGTGGCTTATACATGGCAGCTACAGTCTCATTCATACATATACAATACAAGCGCTGTTATAACAGCAGATGAAAGAGTGTTGTAGCTGCATGATAAAGCATCTAGTGTTGAGTGATCACATTTTTAATTATTAATGAGGGACCCCCTCAGGCAGCCAATGAGGTGAAACGTTTACCTCAGGGTTAAAACAATTGAGCTGTTCCGTCAGTAAGCTAAGCAGATTCTTGCACATAATACATATGCATTAGTTTTAGTAAGCATAATGCAACATTCCCTAATCCTGGAAATCTTTGTTTGTGTGTATGTATGTATATAAAAATGCAGGTGACGAGTACTTGTGCTATCGTTGTGGTAGGTGTACAGTGTTTTATGTGTGTTGTGTGACTGCTGTGTCTTTTTCTTCAACAATAAACCTTCTGCTTGCTGTGCCAACATTTTCCCTGGCTGCTCAAAGATGATACATTTAATTAATTGTATAATTTCATAAATGTAATTCAATTGTATAATTTACAAAAATAATTAATAATCATTTAATAATTTAATTAAATATTATTTTAGATATTAATTAAATTTTTTATTAATTTAAAGTTTTCTTTACAAAGAAAATTGGCATTATTAGCTGGACATTATACAGTAATTATAATTAGTTATAAAATAGAAAACGGTTATATAAAATTGAACAATATTTAATATTGCCCGTATTTTTGATTGAATAGTCTAACTGATCTGACCCCAAACTTTTTTTTTTTTTATCATTTATTTAGATGAATACTTAGGTTCATCATTTTAAATGTATAGTTTTCACATTTATTTAATATTTGGAAAAAATATACTTTTTAAAAAAACATATATCCATTTTTTTAAATCAAATGTTAAGTTTACTTCCTAAAAAGAACCGGCAATAATAGCTGGACATTATATAATTAGTTATACAATTAACTGAGAGTCACAAATTCATAAAAAATTTTGCTGTAAAGTGTTACTGATTGATTTGTAATTTTTGACTCATTCTCACTGATCCTGGCAAGACTATCACATATCATTCTCACAATTTCAACAAATCCTTGTCCTGAACTAGATCATTTTACCTAGGGCTGTCCTCATTGTTCAGCCCTGCCTGTTAGATGATATTTCAAGAATTTTTCTCTGTTCTTTGTGCATGAACATTTGTTATGTGCCAGGGTTTCCTCTATTTTTGATGTTTAATGTGCAATTTTCTTTTGCGGTGGCATTCAGGCTGCCCGGTTCAGGTGTCGCGGCGCTCTCTGGAAGCTCATCTGTGTGTGTGTGAATACAGCAGTAGAGTCTGTGCAAGCGGCTGTGGATACACAATCCTAAACACAGAGGAGGCCCAACACAACTGTGTATCGGATCTACGAGCTGAGCTGGACATGCTCAGGTAAAAACATCAGCTCAAGTACTGACTGTCACCATGTAAATGTTTTTAAGCTTAAAAAATGTCTGGGCGTATTTGTTACAGGGCAGAATTGCACTGCAGAGTCGAAGAGGTGCGACATGAAATGGAATCTCGCTTGGATTCCCTAAGAAGACACATGGTGCAGAAGGAGAGTCTGCTGAGGTGTGAAGTGGACGAACTGAAGGTACCATACTTATTACATCAGCAGGCTTTTGTGTGTGTGTAGCGAGTTACTGACAGGTGTGTGTGTTTGTGCAAAGAGCCAGCTGTCCAGAGTCATGTCAGATGTCAGCGTTCTGCTGGCTGCAGAGAGAGCGCGCAGACAAGAGCTGGAGAGGGCGGAGCTGGAGAAGGCAGAGCTTCTTGAACTTTTAAAAAAGGAGGGGCTCAGACCAGCCACGCCCTCTGGAGCAGCACCGCCCCCTGCTGAGGTGCAGAGAAAGCTGAAGCCTAGCTTTGGACTGCATCAAAAGAAAGAATAGAGAGGTGACAGTCATCTGAGGACACTGCTTTTCACGGCAGAACAGTAAGGAAGAGGGAATGTCACATCATATGATGCTAATAGAAAACCACTGACTGGAACTCATCTGAATGAAGCCCCATTATTGCAGTTCCTCGGGGTGAACCGAATGATTGATATGAGATTGGCTATGTTCAATGATTTATCCAAGTTGTGTAGTAAAAATACTTTTTTGACCAATTTTGTATGTTTTTAGAGGCTTGTTTTCCTATTTAGATGCATTCTGTTAAATCATTGATATTAAAACAGTTTTGTCGAGGTAGACTGTGGATTTCTATATAAAAATACACTCAAAAACATACAAGAATTGAATCATATTTAATGGTTTTAAAAAGGAGAAAAACACAAAACATGACAATGATATACAATATCAGCCAATGGTTGCAACAGATACAGCAGATCTAAATCCTGATTGGTCCTTTAGAGCCTGATGGCTGAGTCTGCTTTTGCTCAAGGCAGCGTTTAGCGAGTGAATGAGCGGATGTGTCTGCCCCGTCCGCCTCCGCCGCTGTTGAACTTCCCTTGACCACGACCACCGCCACTTACTCCACCTCCTCCTACACCAACACCACCACTCAGCCAGGACAGGCCCGTCCCTCTGCCTCTGGTGGCTCTGTCCCGAGGAGCCAATCGGTAAGCACCTGAAGAGTTGGGACAGAGCGGTCAGGAACTGTTTGACATGTAGATGTAGGGTGAGCTACAGAGTTTGTAAAAACATTTTATTCATTAGAGAAGTATTTTTTCATCTTTAAAGGGGGTCATATGACGTTGCTAAAAAGAACATTATTTTGTGTATTTGGTGTAATGCAGTGTGTTTAAGCGGTTTAAGGTAAAAAAAAAACATTATTTTCCACAATGTACATTATTGTTTCTCCTCTATGCCCCGCCTTTCTGAAACGCATCGATTTTTACAAAGCTCATCGGTCTGAAAAGCGAGGTGTGCTCTGATTGGCCAGCTATCCAGTGCGTTGTGATTGGCCGAATACCTCAAGCGTGTGACGGAAATGTTACGCCCCTTACCCTATTGTGATGCCGTCTCCCGACGTGACGAGACAAAACCAGTAAAACCCATTATAAACGAGACATTTGTTGCATCCAGTGGGGACATAATTACTGATTATAATGACTTATACTGTCTTTTTACGCATTGCATATCGTGCTGCGTAAACATAAAACCATGTCTGCATTTGTGATCGGAGAAACAACAAACGCTACTCTACACTGCTCAAAATTCACGTTTGAATCGTCAGTGGCAAATCCTTTAAAGGGGTCATATGATGCTTTTTTAAAGATCATTATTTTGTGCATTGTGTAACAGAATATGTTGACATGCTTTAATGTTCAAAAAAACACTATTTTTCAAATACTGTACTTTATTGTAGGTCCTCTATGCCCCGCTTCATTTTCTACAAAGTCCCTCCTTCCGACAAGCGCAGTCTGCTCTGATTGGCCAGCTGACCCAGTGCATTGTGATTGGCCGAACACCACAAGCACTCGTCGGAAATGTAACGCCCCTTACCATAAAATCACGAGCTTCATCTTTTAAAATAAATGTAAAGACAGAGCCCGGAAGGGGAACAGAGTAGCGTGACAGACACAGTGATGAAGCTAGTATGTGTTTGCAATACACAAGCCACGGTTAAGACAGCTGACTCCACTGTGATGTTACACTCTCACTCACACACGATGCGCAAAACTCCGCATTTGAACAGTCAATAGCAAATACTTAAACTAATAACAAAACAGTAGCTGATTCAGAAGCGCCAGATTGTCATAGCAAAGTCAGAATTCCCTCCTCGTCCATAAAATGCATTGCTGTTCTGTTGTAAGTAATCTTAAAGATTCCTAAATGCATCTACTTTCGGAAGGCCAAATAAAGTGCTTTTGCCTAGAAACACACAGCGTCTCCCTGACATGACTGCATCAACACTAACTGTGGTTACTGAAACCACGCCTTCTTTCTATGCGTGCACATTTGGGCAGCATTATGCTAATATTTCCACATAGTGAGGTAGATATGTGGGGGCGTGTTAGAACTAGCATGTTAGAACTTTAGGGGGGGCGTGGCAGAGTCTTAACTTTGATAAAGAATATCTCTTTGGTTTTGAGACTTTAGTCTTTGCAACTTCAGGGATCTTATCTATGCACAATCAGCTTGTAACACTCCAAAGAGAAAGGAAAACTTGAAATCGCATCATATGACCCCTTTAAATATGAAAATGTACTTACAGACTGTGAGTCAGAAGCGCCAGACTGTCCTTGCAAAGTTGGAATTGGCCCACTTTATAGAAACAGACACCGGCATTGTAGGCTACTCTCTCAGGAAACAGTCCTCGTCCTTCATAAAATGCACTGCACACATCTGAATATTTGGGTTGAACTGTTCCGGAACAGTGTTGTAAATACAACTTAAATGTGCAATAGGTGATTGTCTTCAGAAACATTTTTTGTTATGCTGGTTGAAAGTCTCTTCACTCCCCGATAGCAATCATTAAGTTAAGTGGTCCAAATTTATTTATCTGTATTTATATATTCTGTGGAAGGCATAGGATCAAGAAATGTTAGTCCAATCAAAACGCTCGGTCCGAGCGTTTTAATTGACTTTCCTACCTGCCTGTCAACATATGTATCTGCATACCTCTGCACACCCAGTTCGCGCAGACAGGATACGTCATCAGCGCGTTCCACGCACGCTGTGCAGACAGAGCGAGAATTTCAGACAAACATCAACAACCCGATCTGCTTTCCTGGTATTGTAGTACTTTTAAAGTTTTCTCACCGGTGAATGCCACATGATGTAGCCCAGTGGTTCCCAATTCCAGTCCTCGCGATTCAAATAACCAGCTCGTTAGAAGTGAGCTGCGTGCATGAACTGTGTTCCGATCGATATGATATGACACCTACATGGTGTTCATTGCTCCCTCCTCCCTGAGCGGGGGAAATCCATTGGAACATGGGCTGGAATTGGGAACCGCTGATGTAGTCTATTGTAGTAATGTTGTCTCTGGTCTGTGAGCGTAAATGCGTTCAGGGGGCTTGGCTTTGGATGGCGATTGCAGGGAGGGTGGGACGTTCGCTTACAGTGCTATCAGGCTAAAGTTAGCATTTTCCAAGATATCCTACTGCACAACAAAGTAGTTTCGCTTTCACAACAAAACACACAGCGTCTTCACGTCATGGCGGCAGCAACAATACTACAGCGAGAATAAAAGTTACGCCTTCTTTCTTTGCGTGAACATTTGGGCGGCGTTATGCAAGTCGTTTTCGACTATTTAATTTATTTATATACAGTATATATATATAATATAAATATATACACATGTGACCCTGGACCACACAACCAGTCATAAGGGTCAATTTTTTTAAAATCATCAGCTGAAAGCTGAATAAGCTTTTCATTGATGTATGGTTTGTTAGGATAGGACAATATTTGGCCGAGATAAACTAAATATTGAAAAAAATCTAAATATTGAGAAAACTGCCTTTGAATTTATCCAAATGAAGTTCTTCGCAATGCATATTACTAATCAAATCAAAACGGGAATATCTCTTTGGATTTGAGACTTTAGTCTTTGCAACTTTACAGATCTTCTTTATGCATCAAGAGCTTGTAACGCTTCAAAGAGAAAGGAAAAATTTTAATCGCATCATATGACCCCTTTAATGATGAGAAAGAAGTCATCTCTGAGGGACACGTCCAGCAGGTGGCAGTATCACCTAACATTATATAAATACTTATCGAATGAGTTTAAAATTAGCGACTGACCAATATGATTTTTTTAAACAGGTAATGCTGAAAGAGAAATAATTCTATTATTATTATTACTGTTATATTTAAAAATTATTTTATATAGTTCAGGTTATGCAGAGCGAAATAAGAACGGTGCTGCATTTAGAAAGAATTCTTATTAATTTTGCTATTATTCTTGAATTTTCAAACTGGTAACACTTTGCACTTTCGAATTATGCCTTTACTGTATGACCAAATATTACGGAGTAGTCTATTTGATGTTTCAGCTGTTTGATCGCGCCAGCGCCTCATGCGCACACTAAGCTACTGCATTCATTGGAAACAGCACATCCGTTCACTGTGCTGTTCGGCGTGAGACCCGCTCCACTGTGGCATATTTTTGCTCATTATGATATTTTTCCGTCGATACTGGAACGCGCGTGAACTACAAAGCCTATTTTACCTAATAAGGCTAATAGTTTAGCTTCAGCTACATCTCGAATATGGACACATTTGGATTTGTGCCTGAGAGAAGTAAGCCCAACTTTAATTACGTTTCTTTATAAATTTATTTGTTTTGGCATGTTTATTGCTAAGCATATATTATTATTATATACTGCAATTATATTTATCCATTAGAATTATATGTTTTTTAATTCTTATTCCATTCTGATACGGTTAAATTTAAAGGATTTGTTTTAAAGTGAGGGGAACTAAATTATCCTATAGTGTTTATAATGTTGGTACATTACAACATTATTAGCCCTGCCGTTATTATTTCTGAAAATGCAATTTATATGAGACGTATCTTTTTTTTATTTTCCTCAAAAAAAAAA